CATCCACACTACTGAACACGGCGGATGCTGGCCTCTGGGAACGCGAAGGAACGGCGTACTGAGGCGGAACTACGAGATTCCTTGGGCCATTAACTGGAGCGCCGAGAAGAGACCGTGTCCCAAAGGAAAACAATCACAGTAACTTCGGGGAAGACATTAAGAGCCACGAAACTTGGAAATACTGTGAGATAGACGCCAGCTGGGTTAGCTACGGCCATCACACCGAGGAGTCTAAATTCTATTTCCGGCAAGGTCAAGAAATCCTCCTCTACTCCACAGCGTCCAGACGTGTTCTGGGGCCCACTGAGCCTCCTACCCAGTGGGTACAGAGGGCTCTTTCCCTGAGAGTAGAGCGGCCGAGGCGTCAAGCTGACCACTCAAGCCGAGGTTAAAAATGCGTAGGTCTACTGCCCTCATACACCTTCATGTTGTAGTGCTTAATTAAGCACAGGGAAAACTGCTTTACGGTAAAAAATGAAACATACGCAACGGCTACCGAGAACAGCAATGGAATATACACCAAGAGGGCAAAGAGGCTTGGCAAAGGCCACGGAAATATGAAACGACACGAAAGGGTGATAAGTACTCAAACCTAGCAAGGACGCGGAAGAATATAGTATTTCAAGAGAGACTATCCGACAAGAAGACTATGAACTGAAACATTAGCACGCTCTCTCCGAATTTAATCCGCGTTTCATTCCATTATAAATATTTAGATCTGTCACTATCAACAAACAAGAACAAACTCCGTGGTTTTAGTCCGCAAGCGAACTACACGGACCGAGCGACCACCGCTTTTCGGCGTAGTACCAACTTTTGCGGTTAGAGGGTGTCGCGTGGTCAGCGCAACGAATCCCCACGACATTTAATTACGGTTTTCTAGACCGGAGCCGCTGTTTTTTTTAAAGTACCTCAATTATCCTCACGAGGCTGAGTGGACCTCGTTCCAGACCCACTAATTCTCAGAAAATGTGGTAGGGCGAGAATCGAAACCTGACCTTTAGATCTGTAGCAAGGAACTCTGACCACTAGACCACACGGGCGGTCGTCACTATCATCAACACTTCTAATTTTGATACAATCAAAACGCTTCACTTCCTATCATGATTTCGTCATGTTTCAATAACTGCTTTACAAAGACTGTACAGATATAGATACACGTATTAATATACAACAATTTTCCTTAATACTGTAAACTAAAAAGTTAACACCAAGTTTCCTGTGGAGTCGTTAAATGTGACTTATTTAATTTCGTAATCTACATGCCACACGGTCCACTGACTAGCTCCAATATCATTTCGTTATATGGGTTACGCTATTGTGACCACTTACCCTAAACAATAAAACAAGAGGAATAAAGGAGAACAAATAAAATAGCAAAGAAACAAACACAAAAAATGGAAACAAAAAATTAGTATCGCGTTGCTATAAAAACAAGAAATCTCCATACACTGTACTAAGTCTCTTCCTACATATAAGATACCGGTACATACAGGATGTTCCAGGAGAAAAGGTAAATATTCTAGGTGGTCACAGTATGGTTCATTCAAAGCAAAAAATGTATAAGTACATGTGTCCCATTCCGAACGGTTTCCGAGATGGAGCCATTTCACTGTACAGTTCCAAAGCTGTTGATAAGAAAGATATTACGTACTGTTTCTAACTCCGGTATTTTATGTTCAAGTGACAAAGTTGGTACAGTTTCCCTACAAAAACTACACCGTTAACATCAATGCAATTTGCATCTCGTGTAAGGACATGAGAAATGATCGAATAACCAACGAACGTTTCTGGACAAAATCTCGGTAAACACGTTCCCGCAGCAACGAATACGCAAGTAAACAATAGAAGAACGGTGTTTTCTATGTGGTCTGTGCCCAGAGGTTACATCGCCTGTGTCATCACGGTTGGAGAGCAAGTCAGCAAGCAGAAACACGAATCAAGCCATCATCTATACTTCCCGCTGCTTCAGCTAGTCACGTGATTAGATTACCCTTCGACCCTGAAGATGGAAGCAGTTTAGTCTTCCGAACTACACTGCGTTACAACCCAGCAAAGCCTCTTTATAGTAAAGACCATCAGAACGTGATATCCAAATAAAACCGGTCATCTGATGGTAACGAATGTTTGTCTTTATGATGGAATAAATACTTTGGAAGTTCCCTCTTGTGGGGAATTCGCTATTAACAGTTTAAAGAAAATGTAAAGAAAATGTAATAGGTAAGAGTTTTCTTGGTATTTCTGCTTCCTTTTCCTTCATTTCCTTGAGGGAGTTAAGGATGTGGCTCCAAATAACTTAAACTTATTTCACACTACAACACGACATTAGCTAGATGTAAGTGGTCGTGTGTAGCAAGTTGCGTTCTTACAGGCTCCATTTCATAACGAAGGGCTCTACGATTGACTTCTACAGCTGAGGGAAACATCTATGGAAGAAACGCTGGTTGGTTATTTAACGACGCTGTTACTACCGATAATGTATAGCGTGGAACTCTTGGTAGAATGAGAATTAGCAGAGGAAACGGAAGTACCCGATGAAAACGCGTCCCCGTGACATTGTGCTCCACAAAACTCAAACGACCTGATCGGGGATCAAACTTGGTTCGGCGCAGTGAGAACATGGCGACTAATCGCCTGATCTATGGCCAACCACGAGGGAGAGTCAGTAAATATGTCACAAATGGAAATAAAACAGCTGTAATGGACGTAATACGTTTCCTATGTGTAACTCTAGGTAGCAGCACAGTCCAGCTTCATGATAGTCTAGGTAACAGACGCGCGTGCGCATGTTCAGAGGCTTGTTTCGGTAGTCAAAATGGCGACCGTGTTTAAAGAGTGTACTGCGGAAGGGCACCGTTCTCGGGTACGTTTTTTGTACGCAAAACGAACTCAATTCAAAAAATATTCATATAAAAAATTTCTTGTTGAAGGTGGGAAGTGTTTGTAACGTAATACGGTTCACAACTGGGTTCAGAAATTCTCTCAAGGACGTCCGAGAGTAGCAGATTATGACCGACCAGGCCGCCCCTGTTGATATTACGACAGAAGCAAAAACTTCTACGCTGCGGATTTCGATGCACTGGCAAATGATGCAGCAAGTGCATCGATGTTGGTGCAGGATATGTCGAGAAATGCAAGTTTCTTCGTGGTTCGAATATCACATTTTACGTTTCATATCCGGGGGGCACGCGGTAGCGTAGTTGGTTGAGGCACAAGCCGGAAGGTCGCGCTATCGAACCCGATGAGGTCATTGAATTTTTTCAATTTACCTAATCCTTCCAGCCGCACTATGGCCCTGTGGTCGACTCAGCCTCTGACAGAAATGAGTACCAGGAATCTTCTTGGGGGTAAAGTGTGGCCGACGCGTACGGCTGACCTCACCGCCATCTGTGAGCCGATTGTCTAGAAAATGTGGAAGCCTCGACGTCTCACAACCCTACGAACCTCCAAGACCTGTTACAGGGATAGCTTTACTTAACTTCACCGCCATATATGAACATACTGTCTAGGAAATGTGGGAGCCTCGACGTCTCACAACCCTATGGGCCTCCACCGCCTGTTACAGGGATAGCTTTGCTTTTACTTTTACGTTTCATATCCATTTGTGACCTACTTGCTGACAGTCCCACGTATTGAAACTACCTGTGGAGATGTCTGTTTTCGTGGTGGATTTATAATGCACATAGAAGAAATGCATATTACAAAGCCGGGTATATTTTACATGAAAATAAATATCTGAAGCACACAGAATTAAGAATGCGAGTCAGATGACCGACTAACGCGTGTGGAACGCTTTAATGGATAACAAACACTAAAAGGGCTGAATGCCAAAGATTATGTCTTTGTGTTAAAAGAAACGGTTCATATCTATACAGTAATAGGCCACAACCATTTCCAGACGTGTTAATAACAATTAAGATTTGCACTGCATTGCGTGAGAAAGATACAGAAGGGGAGACCGGGGCTAACTGTGCGTTCTATGTCATTGCATTAAATTTCCGTTCTTAAATGTCAATGGTGATCAATGCAAGCGCCAGAATGTGCCGTGCCGTTACCACTTTCGTAAGTCTGTATTGGGTTCCTAGATTCTCCACAAGGAAAACGATGCTCCACTATCTAACACATCCTGTGTTAAGTTCCTGCATGTAACATTGAAACATTATGTCCAAAAAAGTGACACAGGTATGTAGTTCATTTACGTGAATCTGGAACATAAAATGTTTGTGTATCTGTAAATTATAAATGTATATCCAGAAAGGCTGCAAGGTACAGACAGCCAGAATTGTTCCACATAACAAATAACTGTGAATTAAAATAAAACTCTTTCTTCATTGTTTCAAGACTCCGCAGAATATTTTAGTGTGCGCAACGGATACTTCATATATATTCATACACTAACTGACAAATGGCAAACAAGCATAACAAACATTACAGACTTCGTCCAAGTAGCGTTAACACTGTATATTGTTGAGAGATACACGCACATCCGTTCGTAATGAGTATGGAATTCTACTGCACCTTTCGCTTTAAAATATCTCTGTATGTTACAAAATAAACCACGAAAGATTAAATTTTGTGTCAACCAGTCCCGGTCTCCCCTATCGGTCACTTGCAAAAACGTTTCATTTACGATTCATTTTAGGCCTCTGTCATTATAGAGTAGAATTATGGGATGACTTGGAAGGAAACCATACATGACATAACAGAGGTAGTAACCCGGTATATTTGTAAGGAAAAACTGAAGAAAAAGACGAAAAAACCTTAGGAACGACACTCGGTGTCTCGACCGTAAAGCAAATCGAGGGCCTCTTAAATATACATCGAGCGGCCCTGCCACTAGACTATTCTGTTGAAACTGACTGCGCTTTTACCAGTCGGTCAGTCAAGAAGGCAGGAACGCCTGCATAAACCTCTTCAGAACATACAAGCCGATATGGCTCAGATGCAAGCTGTTTCGAAAAGCCTATCGAACACACACACACAAATGGCGTTCAACTTACCCATTGCAGAGAGAGACGGAGGTGCTGGGGCTGCTACGAGATCTGCGACACTGCACTGGGGTTCTGGGGGCGCAGGGGCGAGCGGCTTCTGTTGTCTGCATGTAGCCGCTTGTGGGGGCTTCATGTCTGGTTTGGTGCCCGACGCCGGCATGTGGTCCTGCAGCCGCTGCCTTGCGACGGCGATACCCACGGGGATGGCTGGATGGACACACCACAACATTGCCACTTGGTGACAGCACAACAGAGTAAACTGTGCTCTCATGTATTGTGATACCGTGGGCCCCCTTATCACTGCAGATCGCTTCTGCATACTATCAGACTGTACGGTGACAGCAGGAACGGAAATAGCTTTACAGCCTCTCTACACCTACAGTAAGCTATAAAATGTTCCTGTACAGTCACGAAAAGTGCAGTTCTGCGCACTGTTGCAGGTCCCTATCAGGCTGTACGGTGACAGCAGGAAACTAAATAGCTTTACAGCCTCTCTGCAGCTACAGTAAGCTATAAAATGTTCCCGTACAGTCACGAAAAGTGCAGTTCTGCACACTGTTGCAGGTCCCTACCAGGCTGTACGGTGACAGCAGGAACCTAAATAGCTTTACAGCCTCTCTACACCTGCAGTAAGCTATAAAATGTTCCTGTAAAGCCACGAAAAGTGCAGTTCTGCACACTGTTGCAGGTCCCTACCAGGCTGTACGGTGACAGCAGGAACCTAAATAGCTTTACAGCCTCTCTACACCTGCAGTAAGCTATAAAATGTTCCTGTAAAGCCACGAAAAGTGCAGTTCTGCACACTGTTGCAGGTCCCTACCAGGCTGTACGGTGACAGCAGGAACCTAAATAGCTTTACAGCCTCTCTACACCTACAGTAAGCTATAAAATGTTCCTGTACAGTCACGAAAAGTGCAGTTCTGCACACTGTTGCAGGTCCCTATCAGACTGTACGGTGACAGCACGAACCTAAATAGCTTTACAGCCTCTCTACATGTGCAGTACGCCATAAAATGTTCCTGTACAGTCACGGAAAGTGCAGTTGTGCACACTGTTGCAGGGCTGAGAAGGCCTACCCCTCATACATTCATTCATTCATTCAAATCTTCCCGGGTTACTGATTTGTCAGAACTCTACTCGGATACGATTTTGAATTCTTGATGTATCGGCGACCCAAACTACAATGATTCGCGACCCTCTGTAATCCAGGGGGTCGCAATACACAGTTTGTGAAATCAGGACGCAAGGGGACCCATAAATGTATAGGTGGTTTCCGAAAACTGGAATATATGAACAAATTCTAGACCGCGTTCTGCACGTCACTTATGTAGAATTCAGTTTCAAATCTCGTCAATACAGAAGACAGTGCGTACACGAATACCAAGTGTTCTGCTTTGTGGGATGCGAGCACCGTAAGACCGACAGGCTTCACGCGCTGTCGAGACATCGCCGATAGACGATGAAGAAACAAGTGTCCACCCGGAAGAACCATTGCACCATGTCGCTTGTTCATAACCGTGATACCAGACGTCTAAAAAGACGCCAAAAGTTGAGTACTTTTTCTTGTGGGCTATTTCACGCTGAGGTCAGCATACAGTGACGAGCGATGACGAGTTGGAGAGGTTCTGGAAGGAAACGGCTTTGGCCTATTCGAGGCACTACACCTGTACTTTGCCTGAAGTGAGTGTGAAAGGCCACGAAACCTCTCACTGAACTATCTGGTGTACCGGCAAAGATTTGAACCAAGCACCTACCATATATGGGCACAGACAATCGGTACTAGTTGAACTGCGGGCTCTCTGCTAGACCCTGCAGAACCAGAAGATCTACTGCAGCTAACAACAAGATCATGATCCGCAGCCGGTTCCATCCACTCCAGATCCTCCCAAGACATGTATATCTAAATTCATCTCATGAAATAGTAACATTATTCCTTCATCCCTTCCTGCCTTAAATTTGATAACAATTCTAAAGTGATAATCCACTTTTCTGCTTCTTCTGGTTCTCATTAGGCTCTTTGGCATGTTTCCTTGGATGGGGGATCAGCCCTGTTGCAAGGCCGCTGCCTACACAGGAAAACATAAACGCGGACACACATCTGTTCATCGACTGGGATTCGAACACACGATCCCAGTGTTTGAGCAGGCGAAGACATTTCAAGCCTTACACAATGCAGGCATTGTGATGGGAGGTTTTCTACTTTGTTATGTATTTTCGTGAAAATCCTTCGGTGAGGAGACTGGGTAGGCACAAATCCGAGTGAAGATAAAACATATTTACCCTCGCGGTATATCAAACCCTGGTCATCCATATCACAGCCATCATTTCACTCACTGGGATACGGAATATTGGTCTCCATCTGCTCACGCTGGTTCCTCGCTCGTGGGTTTTTCTACCCTGAAGATGGAGGCGATACGTTCCTCCGAAATGTCAGTTCACACACACACACACACGATCTACACGTCGCTATGGGCTTAATGTTCCGTATCTTATAGGGACTAACTGGATGGCTTTCCCTATGTTCTCGTCCTGCTGGCGATCACAATGAGAAAGCTCGTGTGGTGAGGAAACTGCCAGACATGGATAGTGCCCGCAACTCAAAAGACAGATGTGATAAGGTGCTGCCTGGTAAAGGCTCTCATACACCTTTGAGGGGTGATGACAGGCATGATCAGCCGAGCGAGACCAGACAACTTTCTCCATTACGAATCTCACATGAAGCCCCTGTGAATAAACCCATGGCTCTCACGTCAGTGTCTAACCGACTTAGCTACCAGCTGCTTTCTTCTGGATCATTGTTCAACATGGAACTGAGTTACATTGTGGGACAGATATTACAGAGTCACTTTAACCCTGGCGGTTTACAGACAATCAGTTCTTGGCGGCAAGCCCCTTGAGACTCACGACCAGTAATTTTTTTTCCAACTGAACACTTCCTGTCATAGCCCTCATGTAACATCCTCTCTAACGAGAGGATGGGTCTGTAGTACACAATTGCTGTTGGTCCTCGCCAGCGCAGTCATTCTCAGGTCCAAGTCACGCGGGACCCATGACCACATTTTCTGTCTCAGATTCGAGATTCCCAACCTGGTGGTCCAGGTCCCCGTATATGTGTGTGTGTGTGTGTGTGTGTGTATATATATACTCTTCCTCTTCCTCGGGAGTATATATATATATATATATACTCCCGAGGAAGAGGGTGGCCCGGTTATACCCCCAGGCATTAGGTTCCCTTTTCGTCTCCCCCTAGGACTCGCAGGGATATGGTGGAGGTATTCGAACCAGCCTCCACACAGAGGACTGACCTCACACCAACTATTACAGTCACATCCGAGATAAACGCCACACAAGCCTTGCACAAGTTGGAAGAAGAACATAATGAAGATTTATTCAAATTGCTTTATGTTCTTGTATTGTCCTAATAACCTCACACAAAAGATTTCTGAACATATGCACCACATTACATCATTAATAAGGTAATTTAATTTCTTACATAAATCGCAAACATGAGTTCCACTTACCACTGCTACTGGTAGAGAGATGTTGCATTGACTTGGGAACGCCGCCATTTGCTGAAGTACTGTTGACACCGCCATTACATGGAGATGTGGAACATGGCGCTGCCTCCAGTTTCACAATAGCCGCCATAGGGGGCTGCGCTGATATCCCGGATGCGGTACTCACTACATTCTGTTGCTGGGGTCGGATACTGGTTGTGACCTCGGCAACCTGCAGACATGGGGTCGAACTCCCCCCAGAACTGCTCACTGGCTCCTTCTTGATCTGTAGCAGACCGCCATTCGGCCAGTCCGAAACAGAATTGCTACTTCCGCCTGAATTCAGTCCAAGGAGGTTGTAGTGTAAGCCAGTGTTTGCCAGCGTCATTAAACATACGCACAAAACATTGCAAACGTGGATAGTTGTTCATTATAAATATGTATTTATATTGATAATATACCGCGATATTGAAATGCGGTACAAATTTGACAACTTAGCATTTCTGTCCTTGGTTTTAAGAAAAATATTTTTTTTAACTACGTGCAGTGGGGTGGTTATTTAACGACATCAGCACTACCGAGAACATTGGTTAGAGCGTAGTCCTAGTGAAGAAAAGCCTACTTCAAACTACAGGTAAAACCCCCAACTAAAAACAAAAAAGGATTCATGAAAATCATATAAGGGTGTAAATGTTTCTGTTTATCTAAATTGTACCTTAAATGGTAAAATTTTGATCTCAGCGTTGTACAATTTCGGGAAAAAAAAGACACAATGTTCATATACAGATTCAGTTGTAATATAATGTCATTATATTCAGATTCTGAAGGGAAAATACGTGTTAAAGTAGTCTGTACTTTACAGGATTCTGACGATGGTGTATGCTGTACAGAACTATAAGGTTTATTTTGGACTCTATCCATCCTCTGGTATGTATAAGACAAAAACCACAAGGTTTCGGAGACTGGATCTGTCTCTGTCCTCAGGTGGATGGGGCAAGATACACCTACTCAGTTTGGCCCGTTAGAACGACCTAATCTTAATCACTGGTTGAAATTAGCTTTTTAAGGGGGTCCAACTGAGTAGGTGTCTTCCTTTCTCACCTGAAAACGGAAACGGGATCCAGTTTCCGAAACGTCGTGTCCTCTATTACCTAGAATTCCGGACGATGGAAAAAGTCCAAAAACGCAGTAATTCTGTGACACGTCCCAAACGTTTTGAAATCTTACCATTCCGTAATGAGACAGGATTGGTCCTACTGCAACCACCAGAGGAGGCTATGAGCGAATCGTGTTTCTTCCGTTCTCCGCTAGAGTGCTCTGGATGTTCATGTTTACGCTCGCTGCATTGTTGTAACGGAAATGAAGTTACGCCATTGTTGTCAGAACTCGCCATGGCGCCATTTGTGTGTTGACTACTGCCATTCCGTACAACCAATTGGGAGGGGGAACCTATGCAAAGGAAATGTTTTTAATTATCGATAAGCTTAAAACGCAATAATAAGCAGGACAAGTTATTATTCAGATGAATAGTTTCGATGAATTGAAACGCACAGAATATAGGATTAAAAGGGATTGTGTGGAACTGTTTTGGAATGTCGAATTACAAGCTAACGGGTACTTGGAATTATACGTGGTATATACTGCACACACAAAATACACTCTTTTTTTTTTTGCGAAAATAGCCTGTATTTCATTCCAAAAATGCTTATATTTTTCATATCAAAGACGATGCAACCTGATCTTTTCATCCTTTTCACATCTGTGACAATACTGTGACGAATACGATTGCTAGACAACGGTTCCACGGTAGCCAAGCGGTCTAAGGCATGTACTGTCTTCGCTCTCTCGGAAGACGGCATCATTGGTTCGAATCCCACTACTCAGGGTATGAATGTTTGGTGTGTGTATGAGTTTAGTTTTGTGTTTGTGTTGTCCTGTGTTTAGGTAGAAGCCTTGCGACGAGCTGATCACCCGTCCAAGGAGTCCTACCGTCTGTAAAATGATCATGAAACTGAGAAATCAGCCCTATGCTCCAAAGTTGGATCGAAAAGAAAGAAGGGGAAAAAAAGGACAACGTTTCGGTAAGCACGTTCCCGCTGCAAAGAACAGACCCGGAGTAATCCACTGCTAGACAACGGCTCGCAGCGGAATTAACACATGTTGCTACAAAGGCAGATTCCTATAGTCCAATGCAGTACAAGACACGTTCCCGTGACATTTTCCATGGTTACTGTTAGACTATACAACAAGCCGTGCATAGAAGAATCATTCGGTGGTAGGAGAATTCAGAAATACATTACGAATTATCACGAAGCTTAAACCACTGCTGTTGCGTCCAGAATCGCCCGCAGTTCCAAAAATTATATACGATAACACACACGTGGTCTCCACACTCAATGATGTACATGTTTCAAGTGAGGGCGTACAGACTGGAAACCGCGTGGGCGGGTGGGAGAGGGGACCAAAAACAAAAATTAATTATTGATAAGCCTCAGACACGCAACAGAACGAGAATTCGGATCAGAATACAAAACCATCCTCCCCTCCACCCGTCCTACTCCCAAATACCCACAGAAATCGAAACAATATGAATTTCTGATCAACCATAACAGAGGACGCTTGTGTCTGAGTGTTTTTGGGGATGATACTGAGGGGTGTTTGCAGGGAGAGCAGGGTGTAACCGGAATGTACATGATAAAGACTCCCGAAGGTTCGCTAGACAACGGAAATAACATCCATTTCCTCAAACTCACAACAAATAACTCGGTTAATTAACGTAGTTAATAGAAAATATATATTTTTTTAACATTTCTTCTTTCACCAGCAACCCCCTCGTCACGTACACTACACCCTTACCAATACTTTGTTCCAGAATCTGATTCAAACTAGGGAATTTCAATTTGCCTGTGACGTTCCTAATCAAGGGATGGTACAATCTCATGACAAACCTATTTGTGTGGAGATTATTGATAAACGTTATGGGGTGGGGGGTGGGGTGTGGGGTGTTGGTTCCACTGCTATCCATCAGGAATATGAAAGAGACAGCGGGACGGATTCAGTGTACAGACTAAAAAACAAAATTAAATATTCAGTTAGTTAATTACACTGAGTACGACAGATCGAAACTGGGAAATGAAGCGTTCCCTCAATCCCACGGGATACCAACCCCCTACCCCTTTATATTTTATTTGTATTGTGTAATGAAGTATACCCATATCTACGGAATTTTTTTTCGGGTTTACCGTAGATAATAAAGACGATTATGAATGAATGGAAAATACGAATTACTTTAAAAAAACGACTGGATATAGAAGGTCCACCGTTCATACGAGTTTGAGACAACAAAAGACTATCATGATGTTCTGTTTTGATTGCAGCGAACATACATTCAACAAGATACACATGCAAACGTCTTCCGTTTGGAAATTATGGAACCATCTACAGCCCTGCATCACTGCCACACGGTACAGAAATGAATGAACTCAGAAATACGAGATTTTGGCGGAAACAGACTTCCATAAAATTACTTATTTTAGATTTTCATGGTGGTTCATAATATACGGAGTGATTCAGAANTATTTCTGAATCACCCTGTACTGTAGCACGCAAAACCGTTGCTAAGTAATGAGTCCGAAACGACGCCAGTTGCTAGGCAATAGATTTCTAATATCAACCAATGGACTGACTGGAAAACGGTGTTCTCTGCGATAAGCAACAAAGGAACGGTGTTTTCTGTGTGTGTGTGTGCCGAGATGTTATAAACAGGACAATTATTGAGTTGGTGCAGTGCAGGGGAGTGAAAAATTTGTTGGTGAGTTAGATGTCCGCTTTAAGGGCCGCGCCATAGCTCAAGAGGTTAGTCGTTGGGTTCCCACCGCGGCGGCCCGGGTTTAAGCCCGGGTCTGCTCAAGTGGGATCTGTGGTGGACAAAGTGGCGCTGGGACAGTTTTCTCCGAATACTTCGGTTTCCCCTGCCAATCTTCATTCCACCAATTCCTCCACAATCACCCTCACCTATCATCTGGGGCTGGTACAATAGGCCAGAAGTGGCCGCAGTACAAGGGACTTAGTCCCACCCCACTAGCAATAAAAAAATAGATAGTCGCTTGGGTTCAGATGTTATGAGCTGGGTTAAATCATATTTTCCATGGTAAGAGTATTTATTTTTATGCGTCGTAAATAAACAGTTCTTTCCCGACATCATTCTTATGCTTTAAGATTACCGTTTCGATCTAAAACACTTCTAATAGCTTTGGACGGCGAAAAGTTCCAAGAACTAACAAAAGGAACAAGAGTTATATCTTCTAGAATATAACACCGTATGGTGCGTTGAAATTCAACCGACGTTTCGGATGAAAATATTGCCTCCATCTTCAGGGACGAAGAATCAGCCAAGAGAGAAACCATCATGAAGCAGTCACAGCCGGTCAGCTCTGGAATAATTTTTTTTTAAAGACAACAAGCAGAGCTCTGATTGCTACCTGTTTGAAGCTGGTTTCTTACTTGGGTCATTTTTCGACCCTGAAGATGGAGGCGACAAGTTCCTCCAAAACGTAGGTTGTCACACCGCACTATATTCCAGATGATAACCACCGCTGCAAGACCCTCAGATCCTGCAAATTAAAAGAGAATCAGTCACTAATAATAGTCGTACAGCACCATCTGTACGTGAAGATGTGTACTACTTACTTGTGGTGACGGAGGCACTACTGCGACAGCCACAGCTCGGCCTGCTTGTAACCTCACTCTTCACAGCAGGGGGCGTATGAAGCCCATGTCCGTTATCGCGCTCCCACCTCCTCTTGTTTCCGGTCCCATTCGCCGACTGTTGCGACCGCCGCTCAACTGTTTCTTGATACAACGCACATTCAGATCGTCTCTTGTTTTCCACTTTCTTATTATTCCCGACAGGAACGCTAGTTGTACTCGAATCATTAACACCGCCATTTAAGTTACTGTTGATATTGTTATTGTTTGTGTTGGTATTGTTATTGTTGTTAAAGCCTTTGGCCATAAGTTCTAGCTGAGTTATACCCCGCTCAACGAGGGGGCTAACCGGTGAAAATGGTGGCGCTGCAGCAGGTGGGGGTGGGGGAGTAGGTCCACCGAAGGTATACCCGGAAGAGAACAGCGAATCAGCAACTGCGAAAAGAAAATAAGACAACGTGAGATATGAGGTTGTCACTGAGATCTTATGGGATGTAACGTCGCGTAGAACCTGTGTTTCGAAGGATACTGCTGCCACCATCTTCAGGGATGGAGTCAGTAAGTTAATCCGAAAGGTACGCATAAATACGATGTGATCCTAGAAGACTGTAAGCTTGATATATTAATTCATAGCGCAAATACAGATAAGCCAATGGTCCATGTGTTACATCCATTCATAATAACGGAAAGAGATAAATAACTTTATGGGTGAGCTCTAAAAGTTTGTAATGATGGTATGTTAATAAAACTACTGATTCTTTGGACATTATGCACTGTCCTGCTTTTTAATTAAAAACGACATTTTGGAGACAGGGTTTCTGTCTCCGTTCTGAGCTGAAAGCCACTTCCATAGAGCAAGTCCCTGTCTCCGGGCTAGCTCCATCGATGAGGTCCAAATTGAGTACGCTTTAACTTGAGGACGGAGACAGATTTCAGTCTCCGAAACGTTGTTTTCAGGGTCAGGAGATAGGGACTAGCTGTACTGATTGGGCCCAACTGAGTAGGCTTTTGCCTGAGGACGGAGACACGAGTCCAGTCTCCGAAACGTTGTTTTTAAATAAAAAAACAGGACGCTGCATAATGAGAAACAACTCTATGAAGTTCAGTCATTCTTGTAGCTCAACTTCTCAACAAGTTCCCAACATTTTACGGAAATCGAAGGTTCATTACCGTGTTCCCAAGAGTCCACCACTGGTCCCTATCCTAAGCCAGATTAATCCAGTCTACACCACTACATCCTGTTAACCACAAAACACATCGAGTTGCAAATGCGTTTACCGTGATTTTATGTGACTTCCTGGACTTAACAAGAGTTCATTTATTGCAAATATGTACCCAATTATGCAGACCTCATCACACTACATAATATATACTACGTTTCAGAGTTATAAACAGGGTCAACTTATGCATTTATGCCGTCTCAGGTGACAACAAACCGGTTAATGCAGTTTCAAGAATTAAAAAAAAAAGTGGTGTGTGTGTGTGTGTGTGTATGTATGTATGTATGTGTGTATATATATATATAATCACTGGGCTTTAATGGGTCAAAACCGTTCACAGATAGACACAGATAATAGCATGAAATTCCCAAATTGACGCGAACAGTCACTAGCGTCGCGTATTAATCGCGGTTCTTAATTTACGTCATTTCTATCCCTACGACAGACTTGCGTAATTCCTGAAGGTTTCCTTCACATTAATGCACAACATGTTTATATGACTGCCAAGTAATAGTCACAAAAGAAGAGCATAAACAATTTTCATTTAACAAAAATAAAACGGGAAGATGGGGAGGTTCGCGTGTGTAATTAACTTACGTGTATACAGAGAAATAATCTGTGTGCTTCATTAATGAAGCAACATGCCACCACGACGTATGGGAAAGTGGAGGCACAGTTCCACTATTCTTAACCTCGGCACTTACTTACTTACTCATGGAGCTTAGCCCTTCTGGAGAAGCCGCAGCTACTCAAGAATTTCCCAGCATTTTATGGAACCCGAATGTTCATTACAGTGTTCACAAGAGCCCTCCACTGGTCCCTATCCTGAGCCAGATCAATCCAATCAATACCATCTCTCTAAGAACCATTCTAATATTGTTCACCAACCTACGCCTTGGTCTTCCCAGCGGTCTCTTTCCTTCTGGCTTTCCCACCAATATCCTATACGCATTCCTCGTCTCCCCCCTTCGTGCTAGATAGATATAAGTGGTCAACTCCACGCCCCGCAGCTTCGCTTCCGGGGAAACAGCCCCCGTTACGCACTGTGTATATATACACGATACACTAAACAACGTCAAACATGTTTTCCTTCCTGTGTCCTTCTTTCTTCCTCTCCTTCCGTTCTTTCTCTGTACTCTGGTACGATCCTCACCTTAGTTTCCGCAGAGACCTTTACGCCTGTATCCTGCATGCAGGAGGCAGACGGTTCCTCCAGTAACAATCCAGACAACACAGCATCACGTCCCGGAACTCAGATGTGCCCGCCCACACACACACACACAGTTTCCTTCCCCTTCGGGGGGATGGGACGTTCTTCACTTCAAACATGTAGGCCTTAAACTGCTGCAGGGAGTGTGCCGGGTGTATTTTGAGAACTCCGGCAGAATTTGGGGAAAAAAGAAAGAACGAAAGAAAGAAACGTACATACTTTGCGCGTGCGCACGCGACAAATTGAGTTTAGCAACCGGCTTAATATAGTCACAATTCTGTTTCTGTTGATTCGGTATTCAGTTCATTTCAGTTTATTTGTATATGACAATGGGCATTATTAATCGTCCCTGTTTATTTTTAAACAACTTATAGGAGACCGGACTCCCTGTCTCCCTCCTCAGGTGAAAGCCTACTCAGCTGGTCCAAACTACAGAGCTAGTCCCTACTGCGACTGTATTGTCTCCGTCATCAGGTGAAACTTACTCAGTTTGGTCCAATCGAAAGAGCTAGTCCCTACTTCTGGACTTTAAAAACGTTTCGGAGACTGGACTCTGTCTCCGTCTTTAGGTAGATCCTACTCAGTTGGACCGAATTGATAGAGCTAGTCCCTATCTCCGACTGGATTCGGTCTCCGTCTTCAGGTGGAACTCAATTTGGCCCAACAGAGAGACATATTGCCAATGTCCGATTGGATTTTGTTTCCGTCTTGAGATGGAACCTACTCAGCTGGGTCCAATCGGCAGAGCTAGTCCCTACCTCAAGAGATAGCGTCCGAAAAGATTTAATAGGAAAATGCGTTTCAATAAATGAATAACTGTTGTTCATTTGTGCTTTTTAGCAACGCTGCCAGTCGTTCACACTATATAGCGTCAAATAACATGATGTTCAGCGAATATAGATTTTGAAAATGGTGAAGCAAGCTGTACCAGCCTAGTTAGGGCACTGTCCTGACATTTATCTTGAGACCTTGAGGAACCAGGAGAAACGTTAAAAAAGAATACTTTAATTAACGTGTAATTAATAACATAATTACAAGGACAGCTAAAGCACGTAACATAAAAGCCTCAGACAGAAATACCACGTCAAATTTTTTACACCTTAAGTTCATGTCGCTGTTTCAGCTCAACACACCAATGAATACGGTAGGTCCATTACTGCCGCAAGTCTGAAGCAAGCGAGGGAAAAAAATGTCAGAATTTCCAGCTTCTCGGCCAAGAACCGTACCAGAGACTATATTAATACGACTGAATCCTAACAAACCAAAGATTACATTTTCTTCCTTTCAAAGGACACTTCCTGACACTTCGCAAACTACGCCGGTCTATCAGTTCTAACACTGGGGCTCCGCTAAATGATATCTTTACTTTGAAATTTTATACGTTATAAGATTCGAGTGCCAGCCACGGTGGCCGAGCGCCCTAAAGCATGAACTGTCTTCGCTCGCTCCAACGCTGGGATCGTGGGTTCGAATCCCACTCAAAGACATGGATGTTTGTGTTTACGTTTATTCTGTTTGTGTTGTCCTGTGTGTAGGTAGCGGCTTTGCGACGGGCTGATCCCCCGTCCAAGGGGTCTTACCGTCTGTCAAATGATAACAAAACTGAAAAAGAGGCCAGGGTCCAACAAAGGGCTGCAGAAATGTTGATGAATACATGAAATTAAATAAGGATCGAGTGCAAAATTTGCTGTGTTATCAAAATCAGTCCTTACAGAAAAACTGAACGAATAATGACAGGAAACAAAACTCGTACTCGCTTCTTCCATCTTAAACAAAAAAAAATCTGTCCTAGGCTACATAAAATAACGTAACAATCATTCAAGGCCGAGCCATAGCTCAAGCGGTTAGTCGATGGCTTCCCACAGCGGCGGCCCGGGTTCGATCCCGGTATCTAGTCAAGTGGGATTTGTGGTGGACAAATTGGCGCTGGGGCAGGTTTTCTCCGAGTACTTCGGTTTCCCCTCCCAATCTTCATTCCACCAATTGCTCCACAATCACCCTCACCTATCATCTGGGGCTGGTACAATAGGCCAGAAGTGGCCGCAGTACAAGGGACTTAGTCCCACCCCACTAGCAATAATAAACAATCAATCAATACGTGACTTCGATAAACATTCCCTTACAGAAACAGATCCCTGTGCAAAGTCCGCAAGTTGTTGCGCAATCTCCTCTCTCTCCTCATAAAGGCAAGTTTCTTACTCAACAGCCTACAGCACTGCAGAGCTTACTGAAAAAGTTGTCAGACCTTCAATGTGCTCGCCTGTCTACCAATAACCTAGGAATTACACACAAATGTTTTCTATTCATGGGTGTAAAACTATTATTGTGACAGGCTTTTGAGACTCATAGGGTTGTGAGACGTCGAGGTTCCCACATTTTCTAGAAAATCGGCTCACAGATGGCGGTGAGGTTGACAGCCTTACGCGCAGGCCGCCCTTTACCCCCCAGGAAGATTCATGGTACTCATTACCGTTAGAGGCTGAGTGAGCCCCAGGGCCATAGAGCGGCTGGATGGATTAGGTCAATTGAAAAGTCCAATAACCTCATTGGGAATCGATCTTCGATAAAGATACCTAAAACGTAATTTTAAAAACGGAAAACGCTGTTCTTTGTACACAAACAAACACAAGTCGTGTTGAAGTCCAGGAGGAAACTCGCTAGCCTCTGACCGCAACGGCCCGAGTTCTATCCCAGTTCAGGTCATGCGGGATTTCTGATAAACAAAACTGCAATTGGGTAGGTTTTCTCTGAGTACTTCGGTTTCCCCTTCCAATTCTCATTCCACCAAGTGCTAAACATACATTAATCATGCTATCTTAGACGCTATATATTCCTATAATGACCGGAAAACTTCATGTACACGGCGCATAAAGTTAACAAGTGGGGCCCGCTAATTTCAGGGGGTACCACTGTATACACTTTGGAAACCAGTGCCTTACCGTGTTCGTGACAAGGGCAGAGGCTGCCTGGAAGCCGCCTCTCACCAAATTCTCGACACTAGGTCGATGTGAACCAAACGGAATAAAAAAAAAAACACATAAACTCCGTGGTTTCAGTCCGCAAGCGAACAATACCAACCGAGCGACCGCCGCTTGTCGGCGAAGTTAGTGACCGCTTCTGTGGTCTAGTGGTCAGAGTTCCTGGCTACAGATCCAGAAGTCCCAGGTTCAATTCCCGACGCTGACAGGTTTTCTGAGAAGTAATGGGTCTGGAACGGGGTCCACTCGGCCTCGTGAGGATAACTGAGGAGTTATTCGAAGGAAATAGCGATTCCGGTCTAGAAAACCGAAATTAACGGCCGTGGAGATTCGTTACGCTAACCACGCGACACCCTCTATCCGTTAAAGTTGGCAACCAAACTGAATGGCATATTTTAATACTAAGTAAATCATGAATCAACATACTGGGGTATTGCATATAAGCCACAATATCTTCATCTAAAGTGATTGGTTCCACGCTGAAGGAACTGGATATTTCATTCAACGTCACGTCCAGACGACAACGCGGCATAGTCAACAGGGGAACAGCCTTACAATGTGGTGACTTCGAGCTAAAACAATTACAGAGGCACGCGGTCGCGTAGTTGGTCGAGGCACTATGCTACAAACCGGAGGGAAGTGGGTGCCGCTACCGATGAGGTCACTGGCATTTTCAATTTACCTAATCCTTCCAGGCGCACTATGGCCCTGGGGTCGACTCTAACAGAAATGAGTACCGGGAATCTTCCTGGGGGTAAAAGACGGCCGGCTGACCTCACCACCATCTGTGAGACGAGTGTCTAGAAAATGTGGGAGCCTCGACGTCTCACAACGTTACTTCTTCTTACCTTATAATTATAAGACGCGACACAACTTTTGAAACCCGTCGAATAGTTCTCAAAGCGGTCACTATTAAGAGTACTTACTGTCTTCCGGAACATGGACGTTTCGACACATCTCAGAAAACAGCAATCTTCAATATACGTGTAGTAAAACTATAATACATTTTCCAATGGGTACCGGAGACTCTGGATAGCTCAGTCGGTATAGCGACGGGCTACGACCGAGGTTCGATTCCCGGTAGAGGCAAGAGATTTTCTCTCTATTTCACAGCATCCAGACCGACCCTAGGGTCCACCGAGCCCTATTAATCCAATGGGTACCGTGGGTTATATTACCGAGGCGTGAAACTGACCACTCACCTCCATCTAGTGTCGAGGTGAAAAATCGTGGAGCTATACCTCCTCTCTTCATACGCCTTCAAGACGTGGCGCTTAATTAATTAAGCATAGGGACAACTTTATCTTTTGCCGGAGACTATCACTGACGTCAGGCTATAGTTCCAGTGGTACTTACCTGTACCTTTATAAACCCCTTTGCTCCATAGTCCAAAGTTTCTAACATTCCATTGCAACTTCTGCTAACACGTAGCCACAACTCACTTCACACTCACCCGCTCTCACCAACAAACAAACCTTTCCTCGTAACTGCAGTGCGGCCTGCGTTAGTCATATCAGTGGGTGTGACGTAAGAACCCGTGACTCAGCTAAGGCGAGCGGGGTGCAGTACCATAAGGGGCCACGATTTACAAAGACCAATTCTATTGCACAAGGTTTCCTCAGAGAGCTCTTTCCATGACGAACCGTCTTTTGGTAGGGTCACGCGGTGGCGTAGTTGGCTGAAACACTACGCTAGAAGCCGGAAGGTCACGTGTTCGATTCCCGATGAGGTCGTTGGATTCTTTTAATTGACCTAATCCTTCCAGCCACACTATGGCCCTGGTGGCGACTCAGTCTAACAGAAATGAGTACCAGGAATATTCCTGGGGGTAAAGGATGACAATCTCACTGCACATCTGTGAGCCGATTGTCTAGAAAATATGGAAGCCTCGACGTCTCACATCCCTATGGGACTCCACGGCCTGTTACAGGGATAGCTTTACATTTTTACCGTGTTTTTGAAATTGCATAAAGTTTATAGGTACTCACGTCCGTAGTTATGAAGATTTCTATCTTCTGGCATATAACGCCGGAGTAGTCCGTTGAGAATCATGACGTTTCGGCGGAACATTTCGCCTCAATCTTCAGAGTCGAACAATAAGCCAAGCAAAAAAACAGCATGAAGCAGATACTACTTACTGTCTGCTTAAATACGCGTTATGTTACAGTATTCTGCCGCCTTAAACCCTGAAGATGGAGGCGACATGTTACTCCGAAATGTTGGTTAGCTTTCAACGAATTCCACAGCGCTATATTGCGGGGAGAGTTCCATGCAAAATACTGCTACAGGCAACTATAATTAAATTGACCGTGTATGTATGCATATTGGTTTCGATGGCCCAAAGTACAGACAAGTACGCTCTCCCCATTACGCCTTCACTTCGTGCACTCAGTGCAAACTCGTAAATAATAACTGCAGGGAGCTGAGTCTTTGAGAAAACGCCAGTCGCTCAGCTACTCAAAAATTTCCCAAAATTTTTTATTGCTAGTGGGGTGGGACTAAGTGCCTTGTACTGCGGCCACTTCTGGCCTATTGTACCAGCCCCAGATGATAGGTTAGGGTGATTGTGGAGCAATTGGTGGAATGAAGACTGGCAGGGCAAACCGAAGTACTCGGAGAAAACCTGCCCCAGCGCCACTTTGTCCACCACAAATCCCCCTTGACCAGACCCGGGATCGAACCCGGGCCGCCGCGGTGGGAAGCCAGCGACTAACCGCTTGAGCTATGGCGCGGCCTCCCAACATTTAATGAAGCCCGAATGTACATCACACACCGATCACAGTGGCCGCGTGGTCTAAGGCCTGAACCGTCTTCGCCAACTCGAACATTAGGGTCGCGGGTTCCAATCCTACTCGGGGCATGGATGTCTGTGTATGCGTCTATTCCGTGTTTGTGCTGTTCTGTGTATAGGTAAGGGCCTTGCGACAGGCTGATCCCCTGTCCAAGAGTCCTACCGGCTGTGTATAGGATTAAGAAACTGAAAAAGCGGCCAAGACCCAACAACGGACTGTAGAGCCACAGACAGATATATGACCCATTACCCTGTCCGCAACAGGTCCCTATCCTGAGCCAGATAAATCCAATCTATGCTATGTGCCAAATCTCATGTCCATTTTCCTTATCTTAGGTCGTTCAAAACAATTCGTTCAAGCCCGGGGTCCTAAGTACAGGATGGTTTTATGATGAGTAATTTTAGAACCACGCCCAATCCCCAAGTTGGAAGACCACCACTTGTCGGCTGTCCGCGACAGCTTATACAATATATCCGCAGCTACTCTCCATATCTGGAGGAGGCTTCCATCCGCAACCTGAGGACGCGTCATGCCGTGGCGACAAGGGACCCTCTAGAGACGGGAGTCCCGCAGCTGGTCGACAAATTTCTTGAATTTTATGAAAGGCGAAGGTTCATAACCGTCTTCACAAAAACGTACAACGATAAATTGAGTCGACATCCTGATACCAAATTTATTTAGGGCTCGCTAATCCTCCTCACAACATCCAGACCGGCTCTGGGACCCACCCAGCCTCCTATCCAATGGTTACCGTGGGCTTTTCCCGGGGATTAAGCGGCAGGGGCACGAAGCTCGCCACTCACCTCCTAGTGCCGAACTCAAGAAATGTGCAGCTATACCTCCATTCCAACATGTCTTCACCGTATAGCGCTTAACTAATTAAGCACAGGGAGAAATTTACCTTTAATTTACATCTGTGCCTTATTTTATACGTCAGTGTTTCTCAACCGCCGGGCCGTCTTATAACAAAAGAATTCACAGGGCCGCGGTCTCACAACGGTTGAGAAGCACTGTTCTAAGTGGTGCCTTGCCTTCAATTACATTTCACTTCTTTCTCGCGCTAATGTCCCATCCAGCTTACCACCACCTGCACTTCCCGCCCAGGGCCAGCAGTAAATTACTGGACTACACTACTGTTTTATTTATAAGAGGACGCATTAGTATATTATCGTATTGTGGAGTGTGGCGCCGTCTCGCCTGGTACATTCTTACCGATGTTTCGGAGGAACCTGCTGACTCCACAATCAGAATCGAAGAGTAAACTGTGCATGAAATTACACAGTAAATACATGGCGAACAGCAAAGAATTCAATGTTCTCTTTTGGTTCGTCTTGAGTCCCAACCACGGTCGTCCCTGTCCCATATTATTTTGTACGCACTGCTTACTCTCCGATGAAGATGTTCCTCCAAAACGTCGCCATACATCTACATGCCTTCACGGCAGAAAACGTCATAATTACCTTTATGGGCACCGATGAAGTTGTGGTACGTATTAGCGGAATGCGCAAACCTCGCAGCACTCGTCGCTTGCGAATAGATGGCAGCACTTGCTTCAGTAGCGCCACCGCCACCTCCAGGCCCGGGAAACAGAGAATATAACCCTCCGCCCCCGCCCGCCGCAAAACGGCCAAATCCTGCAACACAAGAAATGGATGGTCAGTAACACACAGCGACAGCGACGCACAGGCGTAAGTAGCGACAAACTGAGTCATACTGAGATGCACATCACACATACAGAACCACGCAGTCACCGTCCTTTGCGATGCACTTTCACACCTTTCGACAAGCTTCTGGATTCCAGTAAAGGCAAAGCTATCCCTGTAACAGGCTGTGGAGGCCCATAGGGTTGTGAGACGTCGAGGCTCCCACATTTTCTCTAGACAATCGGCTCACAGATGGCGGTGAGGTTGTCAGCCTTACGCGCCGGCCGCCCTTTACAGCCCCAAGAAGATTCCTGGTACTCATTTCTGTTAGAGGCTGAGTCTACCCCAGCGCCGTAGTGCGGCTGGAAGGATTAGGTCAACTGGAAAATCCAATGACCTCATCGGGAATCATGGTGTCTCAACCAACTACGCTACCGCCTGCCCCCTCAGTATTCCAGTACGGTAAAAAATGATTTTGTTTGTTGTCCAAGACAGAAATGCAATGTATTCCTCGCCTCGTCGTCTCTGTGAAGTCGCTGTCCTCGCCAAACACACGACAGTCGGCTGGAGTAAGGTATGGACTGTAAGGGGGCATGATTTGTGTTCTCAAATGTCAGTTCCTGGATGCTGCTAACTGTCAGGCCGCGCCATAGCTCAAGCGGTTAGTCGATGGCTTCCCATCGCGGCGGCCCGAGTTACATCCCGGGTCTGGTCAAGTGGGATTTGTGGTGGACAAAGTGGCGCTGGAGCGGGTTTTCTCAGAGTACTTCGGTTTCCCGTGCCAATCTTATTCCACCAAATTTTCCATCATCATAATCACCCGGGGCAGGTACAATTGACCAATCAGTGGCCGCCATGCAGAGTAGACCCAACTGGACTCCACCCCCCACTAAGAGAATTAAAGAATTAAAAGAAAATGCTGGTAACTGTTGCAGCAGCAATGCGTCACGAAGGATGAGGGCGCCTTTGGGCAGAAGCAGGCGAAAACTGCGAACTGCAGGCTTCAG